CTGAGAAACACGAGTTGGGAAATGAGTGAAAAAAAAGTTTTGAGGTCAGCAAGGCCTTTCCTGCTGTTTTACTTGAACTGATAAGGTCATTCTTATTTTTTAATACTTATATGTTAAGGCATTTGAAAAAATACATTCAGTAATAGAATACAGTAATCCTGATATTATTAATTAGAATAACAATTTCCTAAAGAATTATTTCTCTAATGGTTTTGTTCAGAAAATAATATTCAGGTTTAGCAATGCACGTGAAGAAATGGGGTACTGACAGCAAAGTTCTGGGCTTATTGATGCTTTCTCAAAAAAATAGATTTTTATATTGCTTTAATGCAAGTCTGTTTGAAAGCAATTCTAACACCCTTCAAATAACCTTTTAAAATATTGCTTATGAATCTAGGCACCTCAATAAAATGTTTCCTGTTTTTCATTTCCCTAAGGCTAAAGTGACACAATTATTAGCTTTTGATAGGGTTAAACAATAACTACCTATGCTTACCTTTGTGAAAGAATGGAAAACAAATATACTTTGAAGTGTTGTAACAGTTGAAAAAATTCCCATACTTCAGTTCTTTCTTACTTTTCTTTTTTCCTGGAAGAGCACAGGGGAATTAGAAACAAATCTTTTGAATAAACTTTTTCTCTACTTCTAGTGCTGAATAACATTCTTTCTTTTTCCAATTGTCAAAACTACCATACTTTCTAATGGGACCCTCTTTAATTCTGTATAGTAGTAGTTACAATGTGCCCAATAACATTCTAGATGCTGTGATGTTCCAATAAACAAAACCAATCAAAATCCCTGCTGTCACGCAGAGTTCACAGTCTAATGTGAAGGGAGGAGACAGAGTTCACAATTTGTCTCAGAAGGAGACAGAACATGAACGATATTTGTAAATATAGAATGTGGTTGTAAATGATAAGGAAAAATTTAAGGCAGGAAGGGAATAGGGAGTGCCAGCGGGGTTGGGTGGGGGTTGTGGTTTCGGGTAGAGTGGTCAGAGAAGGGTTCTTTGGAAGGTGACATTTAAAGAAAGATGTGAAGGGAGGACAAGGCAGTGTTTTAAGAAGCTGCAGGCCAAGTGGAGTCAGCTAGCAGGAAAAGAGTGAAAAGTGAGAGGTGAGGGGGCCAGTCTGGGAGTCTATTGTAAGAACTTTGGCTTTTATGCCATTACACTAAATGGCATTACAAGTATAAAATGAGAAGCCATTACAGGTATGTCCATATCTTCTGTTTGTGTCTCAAGGTTCATTCACCAAGATTCATTTTCCATCTAGTTCTCTGACCTTGGGAAGCTGAACTGTATTTTTCTGTTTTTTCCTCATGACCAATCACAGTTCTTCCTTTTGACGGCCTTCGCCTTTTTCCATTATCCAGGTGTTCCCTCTGGCAGAGGAGCAGCGGCCTGGCCACCTGTGTTTCTCAGTAGTTCTCAACAGTGGACCTGAGCTCACCTGAATCAGTGCCAGGAACCTACTGAAATGCAGATTCCTTGGCCCCACTTAAGACATTCAATCAGGATATCTGGGATTGGGGTCCAAGAATCTGGATGTTTAAAAATTTCCTGGGTCAATTCTTTCTTAATGTGAGGCTTAAAAATTACAATCCTAGGTCATGGTAACAGTACTCTTCCGATGGGCTTCCAATCAAAATATGCTCAATATTTTTCTTAGCTCCAAAAAAATAGAAACCCTTGATTTAGCTCTACTATATTTTGACTGACTATAACCTGATAACTGTATTTATATTTTTTATTCCATGCATATATTTTATTTTGTGCGATATGTCATCATTAAATGTATCTGCAGGAATCATTCTGCATGGTCCTAATCAGCTTGTGTCTTATGAGACTTGATATCTTGTTTCCAAATTTATAAACTGTGAGAGGATTTTCTATGACTTCTATGTATTTTTATATAACAGTACTGGTTTTATTTTTATTTAAATTCTAATATTTCCCATGATTAATCATTTTCAATGTTATATTTGAATTAGAAATAAAGAAAGAAATTAGAAATAAAGAAATACTTGAATTTACTTTTTTCTCTTTTTTAAAAAAATATTTTATATTCCTGTTCAATTACAGTTGTCCCCATTTTTCCCTATTGCCCTCCCCTGCCCTGCCCACCTCCCTTCTCCCACATTCAATCCTTCCCCCTCCCCTGTTCTCCTTGTCCTTGGGTCCTTTGTATATGTTCCTTGACTTGACATAGACATATGAAAGGATGCTCAGCATCACTAGTCATCAGAGAGATGCAAATTAAAACCACAATGAGATACCACTTCACACCAGTTACAATGGCCATCATAAACAAATCAACAAGTGCTGGAGAGGATGTAGAGAAAAGGGAACAAAAGCCACTTCTAAAAACGTATAGCGTGCTATGTTTTTGTGCTGTTCAGCTTGGTAGCACTGAATTCTGAGAACCACCTCAGAGTCGTGGGAGGAAAATGCCTTTGTGACTTCGATGGCTGCAAATCTGCGATGAGGGATTCACCTCTCCTGGCGGTTTGTGCAGCATTGCTTTCACGCCATGGCCCATCTTCTCTGAAGAGACCCTAGACTGATGTTTGCCAGAGTGTTTTTGTTACAAGTTCCAGAGTTTGGTACTTTTCAACAAATATTGTCCTTTTAGTTTTTTTGCAGATTTCACAGGTTAATTTTCTTGTAGCAGAATTTGCTATGTCAAGATCTTGAGGCAACAAAAATGTCAGAAATCAAGAACAAGGGAGGCACTGCCATGTACTGAGCAGATAATAGTAAATATGTACCTGAGTTGCTGCATATAATCCTTCAGAAGAAGAGCGGTTCATTTGGTGTCTTGCTAACAATTTAAAATTTCTTCTTAGCAGAGAGAGGGTGTGGAATTTTGATTGAGGGAGCTGTATAATGGATCTGGCTAAGACGGAAGGTTAAACCTACCTTTTAAGCTGGGAAGGATCAGATGGAATCTTCATGGCCCATTCTGGCTGGACTGTTTACAACAAATACTCAAAAGCATGCATTTCCTCTCAAATGTTAGTATTTTGCAGCTGCTGGTTAAAAATACACCCAAATGGATGCTAAAAGCTAAAGCAAATGGTCCATATATTTTAAGAATATAAGAAAAAAGGCTTGTGAATCTTTTAATAATTACATTGCAGGTAACAAAATATCTTATAATAAAAGATTCTTGCAGAATTTCTGCTTCCCTATGCCTTTGGTTAAATTGTTTAAGTCAATGTGTGTAACATGAGTATATTTTTCAGAAAGATAAATAAATTTCCCTTTTTTCTATGTAACTGTACATTTTCTTTTATTAGTGAAAGGGCATATAAAAGCTCTTAAGTATTAGATGTATTGGATGGTGAACAAGAATCTATACAAAAAGGAAGAAAAATAATTTAATATCATGTTCCTCAAGAGCCTTTGTTTATATTATTTTATATTTTACATAAGATTATGTAGGATTTTGGAACTCCGAACTCTGAAAAGAAAGCTGAAAATCACTTAGTTCAGGAATACTAACAACAACAACGCTAATAATATGCCTAACCTTTGAGCACTTACCATCTGCTGGGCCCTGTTCTAAGAAGCTCTACCTCTGTAGTCAATTCTCACAACAACTCAATGATGTAAATATTATTAACTTCATTTGACAGATAAGGGAACTGAGACACAAAATGTTTAACCAATCTTCCTGAAGTCAGAGCTGGCAAGTGGAAGAGTCAGCACTAAAACTGAAAAGAACTCTTGTAAAATTATCCCAGCCAGTGCTATCCATGGAAAGTGTACACAGCTGTCAAGAGTGCGATTTGCACGTGCCAGGAGGTCTGCCCAGATCCATCACCTACCACAGTTTACAGCGCTGCTTCAAATTCCTGCCGACAGAGAGTGCTTTGTAACATGAAGATAATACCTCCCAAAGGCTGAATCTTTAAAATCTTACCTAAGAACTGCCCATTAATGATAGTAAGACAAGGCTGACACATTTTAGGGAGATCTGGATGATAAAAGGAGAAAAAACCCCAAAAGAGTTGTTGAAGGTAAACACCACAATACATACCTCGGCAAGTGAAGGGGTGGTAAAGACAGAAGTCCTCCCATTGGCTTCAGGTACATATGGAAATTACCTATGTTAAGCTGTCTTCTCATTTGGGAGACAGAACACTAGGTAGTTAAAACTCTACTATTTGCAATGGTAAAATTTGGTTAACAACAAAAATTATGTATAACATATTTCTCATCACTTCCCTTTTTGAACAAGATTTTTAAATAGGTGTCCCCTATTGATATATGAAATTTCTGATATATGTGTGAGTATGCATGGCACCTTAAGAACTGTCCAAAGATTTCTTCATATTTTCATAAGTATATATGAACCCAGAAAACAGTTAAGTTAGCACAGATTGAAACTAGCCTAGCCGCAGTTCTTGCATATTATCTAAAATGAGTGCTGGAGGTGGTCTAATTTAACAGCTAAGAAAACATACAACTGCTTTGAATTATGTATCCTAATGAACATCCAGGGCAACGTTCAAGCTGATATTTCAGAAAGCCAAATATGGTATGCAAAATGACCAAGACCAGGATAACATTACATACCACAGTGCTGCTAGATGTATCTTTCACATCTTTACGGTGTTTCTGCAACAATGGATGCAACTATACAGGCCTGGAATAGTTTCAGAGTAAACAGTACACAATGAAGAAGTGAGACAGGTATGTGGATAAAAGTCCTTGGGTTAGGTAATTGGAATGGGTAGTCAATTAATCAAAAATGCTTTTCAAAGTGAAAAAAAAAACCTGATTTGACGCTCTGGGTGAGCTATTAGCAATTTCTTTTGAGTTCTTAAAACATTTTCTTCACTCTGTGTTTAACAACAAATGTGGGCCAATTGCTGTGAATTAATTGAAAAGGATTGTTTTCTTGTTGCCAAGAAACACACTTTCTTACATTATGCAGGCCATTATGTGCTCAGATCAAGCTTCCTGATGTTTTTCTGAGGGTGTAAGAATATAGCCTGCTGTGGTTTAGCTGTCCCCTGAGGAAGGAGTGCGAGTCAAGAACGCTTTTCAGGAGTGTTTTCCCTTTCCATTTACCAGGTAAGATTTGGATTTGAAAGTGCTGCCTTCTTCCTCATGCTTAACTTTTCCTAAATCACGTAAATGCTTTTATGTTGAGTGAATGAGTGGATCTAAAATGTTGATTTACTTGGGATATTTTATGTAGAATTTTTCTAAATTGATTTTTTTCCAACTGAAGGTTCTAAGAAAAAAAAAGTTAGAGACAATAATAGACATCTGTGAAACTGGCTTTAGAGATTGTTTCTTCTTGATTTCAGAGGAGTAAATACTCATGAATCAAGAAGTTGTGAGTGTGTTTAGGGTTGAAATATTAAAATTTTTGCTATGGAAGCAAATGTTATTTTTATTTGGAGAAAAGATTTCAAATCTTGTTTGAATAGTTCCAACCAAGAAATGAGCTTTGTATTTGTCAACTGCTTAAGGAAAATTATTAATCTAATGTATAACTATGTTACTTGTCTCTCTTTAAAAAACTGTATAGCTTTTATTGGCTATTTTTTCATGATTTTGTCTTAAAGATGAAGATAAAATCAGGGTCCTTGTATTCCTATAGTACAGGATCCCCATACTCTGTCCTTGGGGCTTACTAATAGGTGTCATACAAACAAAAAAAGTCACTCTTCTTCCTGAAGCATAATAGCATTTCTTGATTGAAAGTTAGTTGCTCCCAGCCTCACCAGTGTAGTGCTTATTCTGGGTACAAGTGCTTGAAAAATGATGTTAAGGGTTGAGTCTGTTGGGTTAAATCATCCTTCCACTCGTAGTAGTTCTTACTCTCTTAGGCTTAGGTTGAACACTGCAATCCCATGAATTTGCACTTACAACATTACCAAGTTTGCATAGACTGTATGTTGTAAACAAGCGTTTTCAAGTTTGCAGAGGAATCTAGTTGAGTGCTGTTATTGGTACTTTGTTTCAAAGTCATATTTTATTTACTCTCTTCCATGACTCTGGGTTTCCTAGGAATATATATTTCCTTTATAAGAAAGATCATCAAAATGGATACAAGCCAGGTCAAATATCTGTTGTCTTATTAGGTAAGTTTCCATTTGTTCAGAGTTTGAAGAAACATGAATATACATATGACTTGTGTAATATGAATCCTAGTTGAAGCTGGAAAGAAATTATTGTTGCATGCCTTTACCTGATAATATGATTTGGGTTTTCCACAGTGAACCAATATTCTGGTAAGCAAACTATTATTTGGAATGATGTCTATGATGTAATAATTGAGTATGTCATGTAATCCATCCACTTATTTTTAATTCATCAAACTGCAGTCTCCTTTCTTGAATTTCTATACATTTTTAATTAACTGAAATAATCACAGTATCATCAGCTATCACAAATTAATTTCACTGTATTTTCTATTTACATAGTAGTAAAATTGAAGCAGCCCATTTAAATAAATGCATAGTTTGTAGTTATGTATACCTGGTGTGACTTATTACCATTTTTGTTGGAACTGTGTATTTGTTTCCAGGTAAGGTGTAATTAAACAATTCTCTTCTAGTTTATATCCCTTTCTTTACCTTTTTGAAAAGTGTCCTTTGCCCTGAAAACACACTTTTGGTATTATTGGTACTATGGTGCTGGAAATATCTATGCTGATAAAATATTTGCTTAGTCAGTTCTGCAACTATTAGAGCAAGGTGGCCAGTGAATGCGTTGGATGGGTGGAGTGGAGCACCAGTCAGATGATACGGTATCTCAGAGGCAGATTTCTTCCTGCATCTAGCACACTGTTTCTTCTTTGTGATGTTAATTACCTGTGAAGGAAATACTTAATAGTGACCAAAAATATCTTCATTTTATGTGACTGGTGTTTTTAATTAAACAAATATTAGCCACTTGTTAAAATACTGATTTGCTTCTCTGCGGATTAAACATGCAAGAAAAATGATGTCCATCTAGGTTGGGATGGAAATCAATCTACAACAGTTTTGTTCACCTTCATTAAGAGGCTGAATTGCATGGATCGTAGATCATGGTGACTGAAATACTGTCAGATGATAAACTTTTAAGAACACTTAAACAATAGTTGTCTCTGCTGCTAACTCCCTTCCTGGAACAGAGAAGATCAAAAAATCTCCCTGAGTCTTCCCTTTCTTAAAAATAGCCAGTTTAAAATAATCAATATCCCCCAAGAGGCACATTTTGAGGTAGTAAACTCTGCTGCCCTTTATTTACTTAAAAGTATTCTTATAACCTGAAAATGGAGTCTCTCTACTGTTCTTCCTTTTTTTAAAAACCACATGCCTATTGTACATTTTATTTACTTATTTTTTTAGAGACATGGAAAGGGAGGGAGAAAGAGAGGGAGAGAAACACTGATGTAAGAGAGAAACATTGCTCAGTTGCATGTCCCAACTGGGGACTCAACCTGCAACCCAGGTATATGCTCTGACAGGGAATTGAACTGGCAACCTTTCACTTTATGGTACAATGCTTAATCAACTGAGCCACACTGGTCAAGATTATTCTCCTGTTTTGAACATTTTTCTCAATTTGGGAACTTCTGATATATTTTTTGTTGCTACAACAGAGGGGGTTGGGTACTCCTGGCATCTAGTAGGTTGAGAACAGGGATGCTGCTAAATATCCTGTAATACACAGGATACTCCCACAACAAAGGAGTATCACATTCCAAATGCCAATAATGCTGAGGTTGAGAAACCTCATTATCTTTAAGCTCATGTCATGTTCATATTACTAAATAGTGGTTTGTCTGAATGACTCATCGAATATTTCTCTCATTGCTTTTACTTGTGGCTAAAGAAGGACTCATTAAGGCAAGACAATAGTATTGTCTGTTTAACTGTTGTACTCCTGATTTCATGTCCAAAGTCACTCTTCAGTCATCATTTATTTGTTCTGTAGATATTTATTCAACACCTACCATGTTCCAGAAACTGTTTTATGTTGGAAATTTAGCAGTGAACAAGACAAAACCCCTACTTTTGTAGTGATTGCCTTCTAGTGGAAAGCAGAGAAAATCCCAAATCCCCTTTTCCTTGGACCATTTTCCATTCTGGTCTATTATATGCTCAAAACAAAAGAAAACAACAGAATCTGGTGCATTATAAATAGTTGCAATTTTTTTTTCATATAAACCCTCTGTTTCTTGGGGAATGCCAAAAACCTTTTTATTAATTTCTAAACTTTGCTTTCTGGCAGATGTCTCTATTCTTCGCTTGCTTAGTGTGCATTCTAGAGAAGACTGACTTTGAAGTAAACTTTGAATGAAGGGAAATATAATATTTGATGAATTAAAATGAAGTAATAGTATAAAAAGTTGATCTGTCATTTAGGGGAGAAAAAGACAAAAAAGTAAAGATGGAAAATCGTGAGAAGAAGAAGGCCAGTTGTGCCTGAAATTTATCTTACTTACTGTGCCAAGAAAAAAGGGAAAAGGAAAGAAAAGAAAGAGAAAAAAAATGAAACAAAGAAGGAAAGGAACTTTCCAGTTTAACTGTAACTCTAAATAATTCTTTTCCTCCATTGGATATGTGTGTGTCTGGTGAATTCTTTAGAATGCCTTAACTATTGTATAATTTATTCCTCAATAGTTAGGTAATAAGAGGCACAAATGAAGCAAAGTATTATAATTTTAATATTCTGATTTGATATTTCTTTTGATTTTACTTTGTAGTTTCTTTCCTTCCCTAATGCTTATTTTCCCAGTATGTGCAGAATTGCTTTCTTAGCACTCGCAGCAGTTAAATGTTCTGCTAATATGTTAAAATGTAAAAAAAAAAAAAAGAATTTGTGCTCTAGAATTTCAGGCTTTGAAAATCTATCAGTTTTAAGTAATCATTTAGCTTATCAAGATTACATTTACCAAAAGCTATAATTCCCACATTGCTCTTCTCTTTCATTTAGAATTGCATTAAGATCTTACCAACTAGGGTGTTTCTGGTATAAAAAAAATTCCAAAGGGACAATATAATTGTGATTATATAAGTTTAAAAATTATATGAGTATATTTTCTGGAGTTTACTGAAAATGAAGGGAATTTTAATATGATGGCCTAGAACTGATTTTCTAGCAATGAATTTGAAGATAAATTAAATTTATCTTAAAAGTCTTAGTGGTATTGACAGATTGCAATGAAACCATCTTTGTTGTCTCGGCAAAATAAAGAAGAGTCTTTTCTTCTTCAACTCTAGGCTTTGTCATCTATTCATACTCTGAATACACGCAAGTTATACTTAGTCTCCAGGAATCTACATTGCTTTAACCAGGGTGAAAACGCTTATCCACAGCGTCCTTATGGAAAGTAAGTGAGTTAATGTAGCATAGTACATTAGTACTGGTACTAATTAGTACTGATTAGTACTGATTAGTACTAATCAGTACATTAGTACTGATAGTACTGGTCACAGAGAAGTTATGAAGTAATATGATGTTTACTTTTCTTTATAACTTTAGCCCTCAACTATCATAATTTGCTTTATAGAAAAGATTCTAAAGGAAGCTGAAAGATCACCTGGTGTATCACACTTCTGATGCTTGAATTATTTATATAATTTCCCCCTTGTCAGTAGCCCATGCTTTAATAGCTCTCATAAAATGAGTGTTACCTCCTAAGGCAACAGACATTTATAAATATTATGTCAAGACCTATGGAATTGCTAGTTTTACAGGTCAAACAGTTCAATATTGGCCAATTTCATATGATTTAACCATACATATATGTATGTGTATGTATATGTATATACACATATATGTATATACACACATGTGTTTATACACACATATACATACATGTTTATGTATATATGCATGTGTATGTATATACATGTGTACACACACACACACACACACACACACGTGTGTGTGTTTGATCCCTGGATGGGGTACATGTGGGAGGCAATCAATCAATGTTTCTCACACGAATGTTTGTCTCTCTCTCTCTCAAACCAATAAACATACTTTTTAAAAAGACACTACTAGAAAAATAATACAGTCATTAAGAGCTTTGAGCTGGTGTCAACAGACGATTCAGTGGGCCAAAT